GTCAGAACAAAAACCACGCCATGGGGTTGAAGGAATTGTCCGTAGAGCTCCGAAACAGGATTGTGTTGAGGCACAGATCTGGGGAAGGGTACCAAACATTTCTGCAGCATTGAAGGTCCCCAAGAACACAGTGGCCTCCATCATTCTTAAATGGAAGAAGTTTGGAACCACCAAGACTCTTCCTAGAACTGGCCGCCTGGCCAAACTGAGCAATCGGGGGAGAAGGGCCTTGATCAGGGAGGTGACCAAGAACCCGATGGTCACTCTGACAGAGCTCCAGAGTTCCTCTGTGGAGATAGGAGAACCTTCCAGAAGGACAACTATCTCTGCAGCACTCCACCAATCAGGCCTTTATGGTAGAGTGGCCAGACAGGAGCCACTCCTCAGTAAAAGGAACATGACAGCCCGCTTGGAGTTTGCCAAAAGACACCTAAAGACTCTCAGATCATGAGAAAGAAGATTCTCTGGTCTGATGAAACCAAGATTGAACTCTTTGGCCTGAATGCCAAGCGTCATGTCTGGAGGAAATCTGGCACCATCCCTACGTGAAGCATGGTGGTGGCAGCGTCATGCTGTGGGGATGCTTTTCAGCGGCAGGGACTGGGAGACTAGTCAGGATCGAGGCAAAGATGAACGGAGCGAAGTACAGAGAGATCCTTGATGAAAACCTGCTCCAGAGCACTCTGGACCTCAGACTGGGGCAAAAGTTCACCTTCCAACAGGACAATGACCCTAAGCACACAGCCAAGACAACGCAGGAGTGGCTTCGGGACAAGTCTCTGAATGTCCTTGAGTGGCCCAGCCAGAGCCCGGACTTGAACCCGATCGAACATCTCTGGAGAGACCTGAAAATAGCTGTGCAGCAACGCTCCCCATCTAACCTGACAGAGCTTGAGAGGATCTACAGAGAAGAATGGGAGAAACTCCCCAAATACAGGTGTGCCAAGCTTGTAGCATCTTATTCAAGAAGTCTCAAGGCTGTAATTGCTGCCAAAGGTGCTTCAACAAAGTCCTGAGTAAAGGGTCTGAATACTTATGTAAATGTTGTGTTTCAGTTAAAAAATGTTTTTTATAAATAAGCAAACATTTATAAAAAACTGTTTTTGCTTTGTCATTATGGGGTATTGTGTGTAGATTGATGATGGGAAAAAACAATTAAATCAATTTTAGAATAAGGCTGTAACGTTCAAAATGTGGAAAAAGTCAAGGGGTCTGAATACTTTCCGAAGGCACTGTATTGTAGTGAGTCTGTCGACAAAATTCAAACTAAAAGGTACACCGTATTTAAAGGGATGTCTTAAGATAAATGTACTGAAAACCCTATTGAATAAAAACTCCAGGAGAAAATCTGTTGGACAGCAAGTGGGAGGGTTGTCAGTGGTTGAAGGAAATGTATTCCGAGTGAGCACGGTAGCCACAACTGCAGAGTGTGTTACGTGACTGAATAAGGTACATTTTAATACCAAATACTGAGAAGTGAGTAGGAAAGGCATAAATTCCTAAATCTGAATCAGCCCATTAGAAACTTTCACAGCTGTAACTGCTGCCAAAGGTATTTCTAAAATGTGTTGACTCAGGGGGGTGAATACTTTTCTAATCAAGGTATATTAGTGTTTTATTTTTCATTTGATATTAGAGTATTTTGTGTAGACTGTTGACAAAAAATGACAAGTAAATCCATTTTAATCCCACTTTGTAACACAATACAAAAGTGAAGAAATCCAAGGGGGGTGAATATTTATGATAGGCACTGTACATACTTCTCAAATAATTTTTAAGCAAATGTCACAGTATAAAGGGTTGTATAAAGCTTATGCCACAGCTTATAAAGCTTATGCATAGATGTAAGGACCTGTTATATCACCCTTACTGTGACATTACAACTGATTTGTGAAGCCAGTTTAAAGTGTAATCTATAGGCTACTGTACGCAAACACTCCAACACACACTCATTGTGCTAACATTCCCTCATTCACACAGAGACACCAGATCTGCTCAGGATGAGGTAAGACATTACACTTTTATTAATGACACCGTATCACAACAGTCTGGTCCGTTCATCGAGAGAAGCAGATCACATTATTATTACACACGTTATGAGAAACTCCAGTCACAGCACTGAGACTAAAGCCTTCAGAGCTGGGTCATATACACACTCCTCTCACTGACCCATCAGGGATGTCACAGTTGGACAATGTAACCGCTGGGAGAGAACGAGAAAGAAAGAGAAGATACATTAGAGAGAGGAGAGGTTTGTAACTATACAGCAGGTCACTTGTTAAGGGTTGTGATTGTCAGTCCCTTTTGAGGTGTCAATTTTTTAGCAAAGAGATCGATAGCACTGCGATTGGTGCCGCCCATTGCCTAGAGCCTATTGGTAGGCGGAAATGGTTTGAACCTCCAACAGAAAGGATTCTGGGTAGGCTCCATAATTAGTCACAGCAACTTGTCCAGGATGTAGAGTAAACTCAGACTGGGTCCATTGTGATGGAAGAGAGCCACATAGAAATGTCTTCCAGTGCAGTTCTCTGATAGATAATTCACCATTGCCATATCCCACTTTAGCCTGTTCATGTAGGCTATTTCCACATAGCGCATTAAGAGTGGTTTGTTAGTTCGATGGACACATTTGTATTCACACAGTGCTCTTTCTCACACTGGCAGTTATTTCACTGCCAACTACACTCACACTGAAGGTCGTTGCACACAATGTTGCTTTGTTTTACACAACATTATTGTGTAACCAATATTGAATACCTGTAAAGCATTTTTCCATTTGCTCTTGCACAGAAAGACATCCATTCTCTTTGTGGAATGGATGGTATTTATTGGACCTAATGTATATTTCAAGTGGCAGGCAGGAAAATGCAACAAAGACTGTGTGCATGGGCCCAAACAGACACACACAGTCTACGTCTGAAATTACACCCTCTTCCCTATATAGTGCACTACTTTTGACCACAGCCCAATGTGGGCCCAAGTATTGCACTATTTCGGAGGCACACGCATAATCAATTAGATCACTCACTTTAAATTTGAGTCAGGCCTCGATTCAGACCAAATAATTGACTTAGACCTCAGAAACGTCTCATAAAAAATTTATACTTTTTTAATAACATAATAAATAAGAACACAAATATCAATACCATCAAGTACTGAGCATATGACCAAACCAGTAAAATGCAATCAGTTACAGAAACATATGACAATATCATGATACTCAAACAGTCTTGAATGAAGTTATTACATCTGAATAAGTCTGCTTATAGTGTGTCTATGATAATGACAGTGTAAACCACATGTAAGGTACTGTATGTGAGTGTAGGCTTTTGATCTTGAAAGTCTGTAGGTGAGCCTACAGTTGATATTGAATGTGTGTAAGAGAAGGTTTTGTGTGTGGTGCCCGTGTGTGTGTGTGTGTGTGTGTGTGGTTGAGGAACCCACCATAGGAATGCGAGGTGTGTGAAGTAAACAGCTGTGGATTCTAAAACCGACAAGACCGCACGATGATGGATGTTATCTCTCTATTTCCCTGCAGACATTCAGGCCTCCTCCCTCCCTCTCTCGCTCTCCACTCCTCTCCATCTCGCTGTCTCTCTCTCCTCTTCTCTACTTCCTCATCTCCTTTCCCTCTCTCCCATAAAACAATACGTCTTAAATGTCTGAGGGGAGACTGTGCTAATGTCCAACATTAGCTCCTTAATGAAATATACATTACACCATTACTGACGAGGGCTGGGGCTGCGTCGCTAAAGCACTGTGGGGCTAAAATAATAAAACATGCAAAATTCAATTTCCTTCAGAAGCCTTTTGAGTGTGTGTGTGTGTAGTAGGGGGTGGGGGATGTGTGTGTGTGAGTGCCATGATCCTACCACAGTTGACCCAACCACGCCTAAACGGAGATCCTCATCACTGACCATGAAAGGGCCATCTGACACAGACCCCGCCCATACTCTCTTTCTCAGTATTGTCAGAGAATGTTGGACACATAAATCGATAAATGACATGACATCAGCACTTGACATGGGAATTGAAACATCTTCATCCCCCAAAATGTATCAAATACCCTCTTTTGTGTACATAGTCACAGACAAAGACTACAGACCGACTGAGCTGAAGAACACCCATTGGGGAACAGCCCCAAATCTCCCTTTTAAGTTTACTTTCATCATTGCTTCAGTTATACAGTAGCATTTAATTTGTTGCTGCTCGTCAGCATGAGGGGAAATACTATATCTTGTTATGTCATGTCTTGTTGACATGAGGGGAAAATAATAGTCTGGTTGCTTCCATGTCTCCTTACATGGCGCAATGCATCGCAACTCTTTGCAGGACATTGCAGGGTCCGATGTCTGGTAGATGTATGTCCTCTATGTACAGAGAAGAATCCGCCTATCTGCAGTGGAGGCACCTCTTCTGGACCTAAGGGGTTTTATTTACAGAAGGAAGGAGTTTCCAGAAACCAGTTGGACCAAACGGCACTGCCTGCTCGTATAGAGCCCTCAGCCATTTACTGTGGAATATTTAGCCCCAGTTAAAAAGCCTTTGTAGCGATGGGAGAAGCCTTCCCACTGCAAACCATTCTTAACGTCTCTTGAGCAGGAAGATGGTGGGTAAAGAGATGCATGAAAGAGTAGAAGTAGGTGGAAAGTAAGAGAGAGAGAGAAAGGGGAGGGCACAAGGGAACAGTTGGGGAATCTTCTGATTGCCTTAAAGAGTTTGATCGTAGCTTTAAACACACACTCAAGGACAGGCGCATCAATAGACACACACGTACAGGCACACACTCATTCCCTCTTGTATTGTACAGCCACGTGCATGTTCGCACGCACGCACACACGCCACAACACACACGCACACACGCCACAACACACACGCACACGCACACCCGCTCAGCCCAGGATGTCCAGGTAGACAGGAGAAGCTTTGGCTAGGTTGAGCAGTAGGCTGTGGATCTCCTTGATGTGGTGTCTCATGTGAGGCTCTCTCTGCCAGCACCCCAGCATCAGGTCGTACACCTCTTTGGGACAGGTGCGAGGCCGCTGCAGGACACGCCCCTGTGTAATACACTCAATCACCTGTGGGTGGTGGGGGGGGGGGCACAGGGGCAGATACATGGGGTCAGTGTCAGAATCACTTCAATTAGACCACAAGTAGACATACAAGCTCCATCTTGCCAGCTGATAGGCCAGATTTAATTGTCTTTACATTTCTTACTCTCCAATACTCTCAGACCTACACATATAGGCTTAGGCTAAAGCTTTACCAAAGGAATGGACGTGAGGGTTTAGAATAATATTCCAGTTAGGGAGTTAGGTTGGAGGTAGCCTGGTAGTCTGTTCTGCTTTTTGCCACCTCCTCATGGAACTGTTATAAGGAGGTGGCAAGAGAGCAGAAACAGACTGGCACCCAGGCTAGGATGGAGGTAGAGTATGGTCAGAGGGTTAGAGTTAAGGTTAGGTGAGAGGTGAGACTGACCTCGTTGTTGGAGAGCTGATACCAGGGCTGTTTGCCGTAGGTGAAGATCTCCCAGAGGACCACGCCCAGACTCCACACATCACTCTCTGTGGTGAACTTCCTGTACATGATGCTCTCTGGAGGCATCCAGCGGATGGGCAGCATGGTGTGACCGCCCACCTACACCAACACACACACATACACATACACACACAGTCAGCCTGGACACTGTTCTGCTGTACACACATTTTATTTTAACGGTACAGAGATGTGAATTTATTTGCTGTGAAACAACTTGTTAAAATGGTCATTTAACATTAATGACCTGCAAATTACTTGTTTATTTCTTTGGAATTCATTAAATCAAGTGCAACTAGGCATCATTTAGTACCAAGTCACCAGTTGTGTTGAATTCTTTAAAGTACACTGAACAAAAATATAAACGCAACATGTAAAGTGTTGGTCCCATGATTCATGAGCTGAAATAAAATATCCCAGAAATGTTCCATTCGCACAAAAAGCTTATTTCTCTCAAATTGTGGGCACAAATTTGTTTACATCCCTGTTAGTGGGGTTATGGTATGGGCAGGCATAAGCTACGGACAACGAACACAATTGCATTTTATCGATGGCAATTGGAATGCACAGAGATACCGTGATGAGATCCTGAGGCCCATTGTCGTGCCATTCATCTGCCGCCATCACCTTATGTTTCAGTATGATAATGCACGGCCCCATGTCGCAAGGATCTGTACACAATTCCTGGAAGCTAAAATTTGTCCCAGTTCTTTCATGGCCTGCATACTCACCAGACATGTCACCCATTGAGCATGTTTGGGATGCTCTGGATCTATGTGTACGACAGCGTGTTCCAGTTCCCGCCAATTTCCAGCAACTTTGCACAGCCATTGAAGAGGAGTGGGACAACGTCCCACAGCACACAATCAACAGCCTTATCAATTCTATGCGAAGGAGATGTGTCACGCTGCATGAGGCAAATGGTGGTCACACTGACTGGTTTAAAATGATTATCCGTAATCATGGTAGCAAGTCTACATGAAAATGGTAAAAAGCAACAAAACCTGAAGTTTCGGAATGGCCTAGTCAAAGTCGAAATGAGCAGTTCATGCTTGAAAACCCACAAATATCGCTGAGTTAAAGCAGTTCTGCATGCAAGAGTGGGACAACATTCCTCCCCAGTGACGTGGGAGACTGATCAACAACTACAGAAAATGTTTGGTTGGAGTCATTGCAGCTATAGGTGGCACAACTAGTTATTAAGTGTAAGGGCGCAATTACTTTTTCACACAGGGGCATTGGGTGTTGCATAACTTTGTTTATGAAATAAATGAATTAAGTATGTCATTGTTGTGTTATTTGTTCACTCAGGTTCCCTTTTATCTAATATTAGGTTTTGTTTGAAGATTTGATAACATTCAGTATCAAAAATATGCAAAAGTAGAGAAAATTAGAAAGGGGGCAAATACTTTTTCACAGCACTGTATAAGTGAATTTGTCCCAATACTTTTAAAATGGGGGGATTATGCACAAACATTTCTAAACGGTTCCTTCAAATTAAAGCTGACAGTGCAATTTAACCTCATAGTCATTGTCTCATTTAAAATCCAAAGTGCTGGAGCACAGAGCCAAAGCAACAACAAAATTGTCAATGTCCCAATACTTTTGGAGCTCACTGTATATACTGTAGTTCTACACACAATACCCCATAATGACAAAGCAAAAATAGGTTTTTAGAAATGTTTACAAATGTATAAAAAAAAACCCGGAAATATCACATTTACATAATTATTCAGACCCTTTACCCAGTACTTTGTTGAAGCACCTTTAGCAGCGATTACAGCCTTGAGTCTTCTTGGGTATGACGCTACAAGCTTGGCACACCTGTATTTGGGGAGTTACTCCCATTCTTCTCTGCAGATCCTCTCAAGCTCTGTCAGGTTGGATGGGGAGCATCGCTGCACAGCTATTTTCAGTGACAATCTCCCCCGATTGCTCAGTTTGTCCGGGCAGACAGTTCTAGGAAGAGTCTTGGTGGTTCCAAACTTCTTCCATTTAAGAATGATGGAGGCCACTGTGTTCTTGGGGACCTTCAATGCTGGTACCCTTTCCCAGATCTGTGCCTCGACACAATGCTGTCTCGGAGCTCTACGGACAATTCCTTCGACCTCATGGCTTGGTTTTTGCTCTGACATACACTGTCAACTGTGGGACCTTATGTAGACAGGTGTGTGCCTTTCCAAATCATGTCCAATCAGTTGAATTTACCACAGGTGGACTCCAATCAAGTTGTGGAAACATCTCAGGGATGGTCAATGGAAACAGGATGCACCAGAGCTCAATTACGAGTCTCATAGCAAAGGGTCTGAATAAGGTATTTCTGTTTTTTATACTTAATACATTTGCAAACATTTCTAAAAACCTGTTTTCGCTTTGTCATTATGGGGTATTGTGTGTAGATTGATGAGGAAAACATTTAATTTCATCCATTTTTGGATGAACATAACAAAATGTTGAAAAAGTGAAGGGATCTGAATACTTTCTGAATGCACTGTATGTCCATGGATTCATGGTCAAGAACAGTGTGGGGTTGAAGGCGAAGCCAACATCCAGTGAGTGTACTGTGTCGCATTTATTTATTGTTGTTTGTTTTATCACATTCTAAAACGTGGAGTAGTTTGAAATATTAACGCTGCGCTCCTGATCTTAGTGACTGCAACTTTTTTTTACAGTTTCCTAACAGCAGTGTGTGTGTGCGTTTCCAGGGTTGGAACAGGTTCTGAAAACTGGAAAATATTTTTACAAAAAAATGAGGAACAGAATCAGAACCGTGAACGAAAGTGAGCTATACTGTTCTGCCATGGGAACCGGTTAATAATGTTATTTTACATTCCTGGCATTTTTTTCCAGTCCCACAAAAAAAACGTACACAAAGCGCCTATGCAAAGCCCTCAGTCTGTCACTCAGAAACTTAATCCAGTGTCTGCCTGCCAGCTAAAAATCTTTGCCAGTGTGTGTCCGTGTGTAGGCTACGTGTCCCTCCCCCTCTGAAGCATAGCCTACTGACGTTACAAGCGTGATTCAGAAATTAGGGAAAGAGATTTTTAATTAGAGAAAAAATGATTAACTTTTTCAATTCTAGTGAAGGATACTATAGTTATCATGTTTCACAAAAATGTATTAACTACAAAAAGGTAAGACACACAATCTTGTTAGCTAGCCAGCTAGCTAGTTAGATCTGGTCCAACGTTAAGCCAACTTTCTGAAGTTCAAAGACATTCAAAGTTTCTTTATAGAAGCCACTCCTCTGTAGGTATAATTCTGTGGGCTTAATTAAGATAATGCATGTCATGACAACAAAATGCCCAGTGCTTCAAGCCAATCCTACTCCTACACCCTCTTTCGCTCTCTCCACACCCGCAAAATTTCAGTCAGATCTCTCACCCTACACTTGTCTGTCCAATGCATATAAATAGCTTGCCTGCTCCATAGCAAGCTGCTCTATCCGCACTTATTGGTGAAGTACTTTAATGTTGGTCTAAAGGTTTAAAAAGGAACAGGTTAAGACATTTATTTTGCTGGTCAGAACAGTGGGGACGGAATTTTGGTTCCAACCCGTTGTGTGTACATGTGCATAAGTGAGTGTGTGTGTGCTTGTTTGTGTTTATATCTGTGTGAGCGTTTGAGTGTTTCTTTGTGAAGAAGACCCTGATTAATTGTTGTTAACATCCTGGGTTCATCAAATATTAAGAAAAGCTCTCTCTCTCTCTCTCTCTCTCTCTCTCTCTCTCTCTCTCTCTCTCTCTCTCTCTCTCGCTTGTCTGAGCCAGAAAACCTCAAAGAAGAAGAAAAAATGACGAATTGTGAGTTTAGTGGAGTGACCTCAGAGGCCGTGGTATCCATGGCAACCAGGCGGGTTTGAAAGAGCGCTTTTGGGATGCTTTAGGCCGGCTGCGTGGGAGGGGCTTCACTAGGAGGCCCCTCCCCCTCCTTTTTCCAGTAGACTGAATTGAGTTGCCCTGTGTTTCTATGGAGATCGTCATTCCAATGGGAATCACTGTGTTTCTTATACCCAGGAGTGGGTATAACGAGCCTTGTCTGTCAGTCTGTAATTAAAAAGCATACAGATTTGTGTAGTCATATGGATTAAAGAGAAATGATAAAAGAGGCTGCTCTTTAAGTACAATTCGGTAACTTTTTTTCTGAGTGTGTTCGTGCGTCTGAATTGCACTAGTGAATAGGGTGCCATTTCAGATGCAACCACTGTCAGGCATAATCTCTAGACAGGAAGCAACTTGTGCTGGTCCACCTTCTGATCCCTCCTATGACATCATTGGGGAGGGAGCAGCTCTCAGTCTATTTCTCAGCATCTCTCTTTCTATCATTGGCTCCTTTCTCTTTTCTAATTACTTTCTCTCCACACTCGGTCCCTTCTCTCAACCTCTTCACTCTAAAGCCCCTCTTCTCTTTTCTCCTGTACCCCTCCTCTCTTGCATCTTTATTTGTGTTGATTTCTTTGACTCACTCTTCATTTCGCCTCCCCCTCTCTCTCCCCATCTCTCTCTCTCTCTCTCTCTCTCTTTCCCTCTTTTTCTGTCTCTCTCGTTCTCTGTAGTATTGGAGCTGCATACTAATAGAGTTCTTTAATTACTTTTTGGATAGGGACTGTCTGATATAACTTAAGCTATGTGCTGCCTTTGCCCATTGCTATGGTGACACTCCAGTGGTTAATTGTACTGAGAGGAGTGTGTTTCTGAGGGGTGTGTGCAGGGGGATAGTAGTTGTATGTCGTCATACACTAACTAATAGATAGTGAAAGCAAAGAGACAGAGTAACACAGCACAAGCCAAGGTCAGCTCCTACAATATATCTCAGTGGCATGTTCTGGCACTTCATAGAGAGGTGACCAGACAGAGACAGACAGAGAGAGAGAGAGACGGGGTGAGAGAGATAGAGGAATGAAGAGAGGGATTAAGAGAGATCCAAAGACAGAGACAGGGAGACACTATTAGAGCCAAGGGTGGGTGTTGTTTAGGGCCCTTTTAGGATCCTGTCAATCATGTTAATCCATAGCAGAGCACAGACAGACAGAGCTCTCAGCTGTCCATCCGTCTGTCTGTCGGGGATATGTTACATACATTTGTGTACATCCATTTAGTATT